TTAAGGCAGATACTGAATTAAGAAACAACCCAGTATAGCAGATCCATTATCATAACAACAATCTTATTTTAGAGTTTTCTATTGGAATACATAGTGAAAATTTCCTACTATATTATTTTTTTTTACAGGCCTTCTTATGGACACTAGCATGTCTCAGACTATTTGGTTTGATTTTGGTCAGGAGACAGTAACAAGTGGCTCTTTATTCCCAGAAACATCCCCATTCTTAATCCAAATCAAGAGTTCATTTTCCCAAGTATTTAGAGCAAAATTATTGGAGATACAGAAATTTTGGGGTTCAGCTTTTGGCTGCACAACTTTAGAAAAGAACGTTTTATCAAATTGTACTTCAATCACTACAGCTTTTAAAAATGACAACATAGGGGCGCCTAGGTGGTTTGATTGGTTACGTGTTGGACTTTGGCTCAGGTCATGATCTTGTGGTTTTTGAGTTTGAACCCAGCATCGGGCTCTGTAGTGACAGCTCAGGGCCTGGAGACTGCTTCAGATTGTGTCTCCCTCTCTCTCTGTCCCTCCCCTGCTCATGTTTTCTCTCTCTCTCTCTCTCTCTCTCTCTCTCTCTATCTCTATCTCTCTCTCTCTCTCAAAAATAAAAAATAAACATTAAAAAAAATTTTTTAATGAAAATGTAAGTGATGGAAGAAATAAAGAAAAAAATCTCAGGTTATACTCAGGTGCCAAAGCTGAATTCTGAAAATCAGAAAATGTCCTAAGTGCAAATAATCTATATTTACACTATACTTACACATTCTCTTACAGACTGTAAGTTTTCCTCCCTTGGGTGTCTATACCTACTTGATTGCTATGTCTTTTCCTTGCTTCTGACCCTTCCTAGTAATACTAATTTTACTAAAAGTTAGTAAATTTCCTCATAATTTTATAATCTCCCATTCATACTTCCAGACTCATCTTCCTTTACCCTCCTTGTTGAACCCTGAGGATAATTTAGGGAATAAATGCCTATTACGTGCTTCTACTTAAACTCCTTCCAATGTTTTAATGTACTCATAATGTCTTGTTAATATGTGCATCCACAAGATAGTTCCTGTCTATGAGTGCATTTTATACCCCATTTTGTGTTAATATACAGGGAGTTTATCTATTCTTTCCCACTATATGAGACCCAGAATCATTATCTTGATACGTCTTAGTGGTTACTCTAAAAATACACATTTAACTTGGCTCACAGATTATTTAAAAAGTATAAACCCCTATTCCAACCTTTACCTTCTGCCTTAGACATTTGAACAAATTATAAAAGAATAAGAAGGGAGAATATGATTTGAATTCTCAAACCAATGGTCTATGGCAGCCATTAGTATCGGTACAAATGCAACAAAAATTTTTCATGGACCTGTTGAACAGAAATCACAAATAAATGTGTTCTTGCCTTTGTCATAAGCCAGTTTTGCAGGATTTCAATATCTTAACTGGCATCACTTTCCTGCTCTCAATGAAGTGCTGTGAATTTGGTATTTCCCCCAACTTCCTCCCTCATTCTACTAAATCCATGTAAAGCCTCCATTCAATCCTTCCATCTGGTAGGATGGTCTGAGCTAAAATATTTTTTAATTTTTTTAATGTTTTATTTATTTTTGAGAGAGAGCGAGGACACACGGGGGAGGGGCAGAGAAAGAGGGACACAGAATCCAAAGCAGGCTCCAGGCTCTATGCTGTCAGCAAGAGCCTGATGCAGGGCTTGAACCCACGAAACAAGAGATCATGACCTGAGTCAAAGTTGAATGCTTAACCAACTAAGCCACCCAGGCACCCCTGAGCTAAAATCTTTTCTGAGATCTTTAGAAAAAACAAATAAACAAACAAACATGCTACTCTCCCAAAAAAGTTGACCAATTCAGGAGCTACATTACATTTTTATTTGAGAAAATTGCAGTAAAACTTCTATCGCCTTTGGGACAGGAGTAATCTTTTTTCTTTGATGTCCTCACAGAATCTAATACTGTGCCAGTACACAGTGTTCACTCAAAAATACAAATATTGGGGTGCCTGGGTGGCTCAGTCAATTGAGCGTCTGACTTTGGCTCAGGTCATGATCTTTCAGTTCGTGAGTTTGAACCCTGCATCGGGTTGCTGCTGTCAGCACAGAGCCCACCTCGGATCCTGTGTTCCCCTGTTTCTCTGCCCCTCCCTTGCTAGTGCTCTCTCTCAAAAATAAGTAAACATTTAAAAAAATACAAATGGCATACAAATTACTCAATGGGATAAATCTAAAGTATGTGGTATTTCAGTATTGCTATGATCTCAAATGTGTTCTGTGTTGAGGTGGCCAGAGGCCATCACTGATACAGAGTTTCCTGAAGTATTTACATTTTAATGTGTTCCTGACATTAAATTTAAGAGAAATCACAAAAGGATTCAGGATTTTTCTTTAATCAATTTTAAAAAATAACATTTCATCCCTTTCCACATAGATATACACACGCTTACACGATATAGGCTAATAAGCTCATGTATATAAACAACTCTAGCAGGAAGTAAAGCAAATCACGTTCCACTGAAGAATATCCCCACTAATTACTATTTGAAGGGACTTCTGTATAAAAGCTAGATTTCTAGTATGAGTCAATTTTGTCTGTAAGGACTCTGTATTTTATTTTTACAGTGTTGTTGAATGTCTACTCAACTTATTAATGTATTAAGATCTCAGTCACAAAGGAAAGAAATTAATATAGTAGCATATGGGAAACTTTGGGTCCAAGCATCTTGAAAGTCAAGAATTTGGTTATTCTTCAGGATTTGGCATTAAAAGGTATTCTCCACCCCCCTGCGCATGGAAAACAATTTTTTATTGGCTTTAAACAGCGTGGCTGAAATATGTCACCAACTAGCCTTACTGCACAACAATTTTCTACATACACACTCTTCCACACCATTACTTTTTTATCTGCCCAACTTATCAATGTAAAGAAATTTCCTAATTCAAATATAACAATTGTTTTCACTGTCATAATCATTATTTCCTCATGACACTTCACATTGTTCCAGTTTAATTTTCTTATTGGAAAGATGTTGAACACTCACAATTGCATCATTAATAAACACTAGTACATCTACAGCATCCCATACTGTGTGGTTTTGGCAAACTCTGGTTTCCTAAGGCCACTCTGGTCATAGGCAGATTTTGCCCTCAGCTCACTCAACACTCTGTCAGTGCCCTTGCCTTTGTCTCATAATTCTAGCACATAAAATGCAATTATAGATAAAATCCCTCTTGAGACTAGTTTTTCATTGTCTCTTCAAAGTACATTTTCTTCACGCATTAAATCATATCCCAGACATCCCACAACACTAGCAGCAGCCTAGATTCTTTCTCGCTTTGTGTCTAAGGGGCCAATTTATATTCTCACTCTAAACGCCTCTAAGTTCCAGTCAATTCTCTGGATATATTTGTGGTTCAGATCACATATTTTTTTAAACAGGGTTCTTTATATGTTAATAGGTAATCAATAGAAATAATTTATTTAAAGTAAAAATTTGAATGAACTAGATTATTTGGAAACTAAATTATAGATTATTTTTGAATCATAAAGTTTCAACATTTAAAAACCTATTTTCCCCCTCTCTAAATGTATTATTGCTGCCATCAATTCTGTGGCTTTTGGCTATAATGTTATGTTGATTTTCGTCTAATCTCTGTAATAACTATTTTATCTTTCTTGTTATAAGCCATCTGGCCTGTGGGTTTTTTGTTATCACTCCATATTATGAGCTTTACTCAGTATATCCAGATGATATTTTACTTTGTTTTTAGTTCATTTGTTTTCCACTCAGGAAAATAATTATTTTAACAGGAACCAGTGGGGGCATCTGGATGGCACAGTCAATTAAGTGTCCAACTCTTGGTTCAGCTCAGGTCGTGATCTCACGGTTTTGTGGGTTCCAGCTCCGCATCAGACTCTGTACTGGTGGTGTGGGGCCTGCTTGGGATTCTCTCTCTCTCCCTACCCTTCTGCTCATGCTGTCTCTGTCTCTCTCAAAATAAATAAACTTAAAAAATAAAAATTAAATAAAAAATTTTTTAAAAAGGAACAAGTGGATCAAGAATTTTAATCTTTATCTTTTACATTAAAATTGTCTTTTAATCTTCTGCAGGTAAAAGTATTCTGTTAGAAATTTCAAAAAATCCAGTCAGCTTTACTTTCTAAATGATATTACACTTTTAAAAGCTTTTTAAAAAACTTTCACCCTTTATCTTCCATCCTCCTTTTCTCCCTCCTCCCTTTCCTTACTTCCTTCTTTCTGCCAATAATGATTCATCAAACACATGTTTTGTGCCAATATCACAGCAAATGATGGTATAGCTAGGACTAACACAAGCACCTTCACTGATCTTACAAACTATTGTGATCGTAGGGATCTAATTTTGGCATGCCTTTAATTATTTCTTATAAACCCAGAACATTTTTAAAGTAAAGCTCACTGTATGATAACAGATCAGATCATGTTGGAATCCTAGTTCTTACATGCACCTGATATTTAGGATCTGTGTTACCTAGGGGGAAAACCACATATATTGATGGGCTTTTCCCTTCTGATATTTAAAGGTGGATATCTGAGCAATGATGATGAGAGCAAATCTGGGTAAATAAGTTAAGAATGCCCAAAGGTATTATAATTGCTGCATCAATACTTCCTAAAAAAGAAATTCATCTGGGCTCTAGAGGCCTATGAGATTCAGGTTCACCACCTACAGTGGTCATATGGTGAGTGGAGTGCACAAAGCTCTCCTCTCTGCCTACAGAAGGAGGCATATTTTCTTTCACACAAAAATGACATCTGATGACTCTGCCTTGCTCTTAAGAGCCTATATCTTCTAAGAGGGGGACTCCTTTTCCTTATTTGCTCACAGGCTATTGGTGACCATGATTATACCACTGATAGTTTACCTTCCTTCTTCCAAGCTGCAAATCATTTTTAAATGGCATCTTCTGGCTTTCGTTATAACAGTGGAAATAGAATAACTATATGCTTCCCATCTCTCTGAAAAGCTGGGAAGCCCAAAATATTTTGGATTGTTTTGGCAGCACAAGCAGCCAGCTGTTGACTGGAGTTCCACAGAACCAGCCAGGGATGTCAGTGGCTGACTCTGGCATCTGTGTTATGAATGATATCTTGGGATAAAATCCCACCCCCTGTAGTTTCTTGGCAGCTTAAGAATCTCAGACTGAGATGAAAACATGGCTTTCAATGCCTCAGTGAGTCGCTGGAATATTTTGGAACTGCTTGAGCCAGTATGAGATTTGTGCACATCTCTGATTTTCAATCCAGCTTTGAACTGATATTCAACACCCGAGAAGTAGAATCTTAAAATGAAAAACATCTTTAATTGGTTCAAAGGTCCCAAGTTCCATTACCTCTGAAGAAAGAATCTTATAGAGGTTTTTCTGATCTTTCATCTGCCCACAATTGCCTTTCCTAATCAAAAGTAGCAAGGTAAGAATCTTTCTCTTTTACTATTTGAAATACAGTACTAATCTTCAAAGGCAAGCAGAAGGAAATTATCCTTTTAACTAGCAATAGCTGTTTCAATTTCAAAGATTATACAAAAATATGTGTCCTTAGTCTGTTTACAGCATTTTAATCATTTCCCGTAGCAGCTTGGATATTTTATTACAGGGTTGTTTTTGCTTTTTTAAGCGGAGACGCAGACTCAGATGCTCAGTTTAGAAGATGAGGAAAACAGTGACTGCTATTAGGATGGGTCTGGAAATGGGGTAGGAGATGAATAGGTGAATTAAGCCACCATATGCCCAGTGAATTAAGTAAAGTCCTAGAACATTAGAAAATACTTATCTGATTTAAATAGGAAATGCTTTGTCTAAAAATACAAAGAAATGAAAATAGAAATTAAATCATACATTGCTGACTTGTTACAGACAGCCAAAATGTTTTATAACTTTGGCATAAAAACATCATACCAAGAAAAGCAATGAATTTTATAATTACTTTTGGAAATTCCTTCTAACATCAAAGCCTTATAAGAAAACCTCACATGGCCATTTTATATATATATATATATATCATATACATTTATGTGTACATACATATTTATGTAATATATGTTTGATTACTAGTTAAATACAATATACTTCATTGCTAATACACCAACTCCTCAGAAGAAATAGACACTATGTTTGGAAAAACCATGGTAAAAGGTAGAATACCTTCTGCAATATTCTGCATTTGTAGTTAAAACTATATATCTGAAGAAAAATATAGTTAAAAGGATGATTTTATTTATTATTTATTTACTTATTTATTTTTGGTTTGGGAAACTCTGTCGGTCTTCTCTCAAATGACAATCTTATGGGGAAAACAACATTTAAAGATTTAAAAATATTTGTTATTTAATTCTGTGAGATTATGTGGAAATAATTACATAGCCATATGGTGATGGCTTAAGAAATTACATTTTGTGTATAAAGCCTGAGATTCAATTTTTTCTTGGTTTGTTTGATTTCAATTATTACATTATATAAATTTTTAAATAATTTATTGAGCCCTTACTATACTAGGCATTGTGCTAAGGAATTTATAATATTGCCTTACTTCATCCTCACAACAATCCTATCAGATACTATGATTATCCTTACTTGACAGATGGTAAAATAATCTTTAAAAAATTATGTAACAAGCCCAAAGCCATTCAGCTAATTGTTTCACACCTTATTAACTCTTAACACCACTCTATTAAAAATGATCATGCACATCTTCCTCATAATTTCCACTCATTCTCAAACTTTTCTGTTAAAAAGTGAACAAATATCACTGAGGTTTTGTTTGCATAAGAGACAGCCACGTCCACTTCAAGGCCTACTTTTTTTTTTTTTTTAATGTTTATTCATTCTTGAGAGAGACAGAGCACGAGCAGCAGAAGGACAGAGAGAGAAGGAGACACAGAATTTGAAGCAGGCTCCAGGCTCTGAGCTGTCAGCACAGAGTCTGACACGGGGCTCAAACCCATCAACCGTGAGATCGTGACCGAAGTCGAAGTCAGATGCTTAACCAACTGAGCCACCCAGGTGCCTCCTTCAGGGCTTACTCTTATGACTGATGACCATTCTGTAGAAGAGCATTACAATAAGTTATCGTGCTTTTTCCATTTATTTAGGAATAAGATGCATAGGACTTACATACATCTGCTCCATAGATGGAGAATGACTGCAAACATCCTAGTACACATTTGTCTAATGATCCATACTGTTAAGTGGGCAGTCAGGGCTGCGTGGCCACAGTGGCCAGATGAGGAAAGGAGGATGGACACAGAGGGCCCAATGCTGAGATCACGTCCTTTCATTTGGTCTATCTAGTCAACTCAGATCAACTCTCCTAAATCATCCTCTAACCAAACTCAATCTGGTGCAATACAAATTCCCTCTGACCAGCCATTCTTTACTTACAATAGAACTGATAGAGGAAAAATTCATAACCCCAGCAAACAGTGGCTTAAGTGGAAGCCTAATAAGGGTAAAATAATCAAAAATACTAACCTAAAAATATCAAATAATAAAGTTTAAAGTTTTACTTTTATATGACACTTCAATAATTTATATATATATGTCTATATACATACATATGTCTATATGTTATATGCATATATGTTATATATATATTATAGACATATATATATGTTATATGAGACTTACAACATGGCATTAATATTGAATATAATTTTAGAACTAGTGTCAAAACAGCCTTAATTACTCAAGATGGATGCTCAAAAACTTATTAGCCATTCTTGAATGTAAATAATGTTCATATCTAGAGGTGAGCTAGAGGTGTTTACAGTTTAGAATAAAGTCCAAACCTTTGGGGGCAGGTATGAAACTATCCTTTTCTTTATCAATTTTATGTATATTCAATGTTTACATGAATCAGTTTTTATACAATATTTTCTCTCCCAGATTAAAGATTATGTCATATTTGATAGTTTTCATTAATCTGCCTCAAATTTCATTAGGACTGCAGCATTCTAATAAAGATGCATATCCCATTGCCTCTGCTGACAATTTAAGAAAATGTCATTTCATTTTTGCACATAAAATAGGGAAAAGTTACTTTCAGAGTCACACAATACCTTGACCTAGATAGTAAACCTTCTCAAGTACATAGGATAAAAAACAAAGTCAAAATTTGTCTCTAGGTTCATTTACATTAGCTGATAAGATTTCAGTAGAACAGGAAAGTCCCGACAATTTTCAAAACATACTCCAAAAAAAAAACCAAAAAACTTATCCTATCCTTTTAATACAAAACAGAATTCCAAAGAAATGTATACTATTTAACCAAATAATTAGGTTTGTGTGTTTTTAAAGTGGTTCACCCAGTTTTCCAATTGGATTGTTACTGCCATCCTCACCACAAGCGAATTTAAACACACTGGAGTGGAATATTTAAAATTAGAGTTAAATTATTAGCAAAAAAGTTAATAGATGATTCCGTTGTTTTTCAAATAATGGAAGAGTGACTTTCCTTATATTCACTATTAAAAAGGAGAAAATTCTGAAAAACTGCCCCTCAAAATGAAATACTTTACGTGCTGAGCTCTAATCACCCATTTCTCCAGTCTGTCAGTTTTAAAATATTGCAGAGCTGACTTCCCAGCTGCCGGCTGGCAGACCAATTTAAAGAAGTAGCCGCCTAGAGAACTGTACAATAGAGCTTAGTTATCACCATTCTGCATAGCATGAAGTCGGCCGCCACCTCATGAGCAAACGCAAAGGACACAATGCAGTGAAAGGGTTAATTAGGAACCCACACAGAACTCCTTTGGCATTGTGGTACTAACGTCCCTTTTAACCCTATTTGTTGTAATTTTTGTAATATGCTGTTTGTGCTTTCAGGTTGCATCATAAATTCATCTGAGGATTTTCTGAATATATTCATATCCTTAAATTAGATGAATGATTGAAAATTTATTCCCTAAGAATGGGCTTGATAGAACATTTTACTTGCTGGCCTTTCATCAAAAACACCACTGAATTTTCAAAGCAATTGTTTGAAGCAATCAGTTAAATATCTGGGTTTTATATAGCTTCTCACTTTTTGGTTGCTCAAGGGAAGTCTGGCTATAGTATCCTACTGCTTTGAAATGAACAGAAGCAAGGAAATATAAAGGTAATTTAACTTTAAATAAACTTGTTCAGCAATGCTCAGCAGACATAAATGAATACATTTTTTAGAAGCTGTGAATACTTTATCACGGCTATTGTTCTTTTTAATGTATTTCAGAGGCATTGCAGGTACTATAACTCCAAATGATTTCCACTTAAATTTCTCACCAGATATAGTTTGCACTTAAACTGAAAACTTAAGAAAAGGTCAAGAGGAATACAATGATAACTACACTAAAACACAGAATAGTAAAGGCCCTTGATGTGATGTGAAGTTTAAAAGTATGCAAACCATGCATGCATGCTAAAATCATGTAGGAGAAACTAGTTGACCAGAAAAGTTTGAGTATTCAGGGCTAATTAACAGATTTACCTGATAACCATGTTTCTTTTAAAATTTCTGTTCCTGGGAGCTTGGGTGGCTCTGTCAGTTAAATGTTGGACTCTTGGTTTCAGCTCAGGTCATGATATAACAGTTCATGAGTTTGAGCCCCAAATCAGCCTCCACGCTAACAGCATGGAGCCTGCTTGGGATTCTCTCTCTGTCCCTCTGTCTCTGCCCCTCCCCTGTTCATGCTCTCTCTCCTCTTTCTCTCTCAAAATAAAAAAAAATAAACATATATATAACATATCTATTATATAAATTTATATATATAAATATATGTAATATTTATATATATAAATTCCTCTTCTTTCTGGATGCCCAGCTCTCAGATCTTTAATTCCACATCAGCTTGTCCAACAAAGGTAAAAGAGGAGACCTCTCAATATTGCTGCAGCTTTATCTGATAGCATTTATCAGATATTTACTTTCTAAATATGCTAAGGATCAAAATTAGACTTTTGAGGCATCTTAGGATTCTAGTCAAAATTAGGAAGCACCATTTGTTCACTGAGGAACAGTATACAATGGTGGTTATTAGGGATGGGAGTACTTATTTGTTTTGAATCTTAATGCTACCGCTTAATCATTATATGACTTTTAGTAAGACACTTAACTCTACTGTCTATGCTTCAGGTTATCACCATAAAAATGGGGCAATAATACAACCTCCCACTTAAGGTGTATAAGAGGATTAAATAAGGATTCCATATAGGTAGTACTCTATACTCAATTATGTCATGGCAGAGAGAAAAGCCCTTAAAAACCATTACTTTTAATTATAAAACCTTGTTTGGTGCTTACCATATAAGAGTGCTGTGCTAGAAGCTGGGGATACAGTCATATGTGATACAGACCACACTCAATGAACAGAAACAAATAATTAAAATCAAATTGAGTTGTGACAAATATAAGCTGAGTTTTATAAAGGTCTTTTA